CTGTAGAGTTGTCCATCTGGTGTGGGTGAGTGATAGTCTGCTTTGATTTTCGTCACAGGGACCTTGATGGCAGTGGTTGGTGGTCCCCACCACCTCAGAGGGAATCAGTTGTCGGGCAGTCCTTGATGCTTAACCACAACCGGGGTTAAGGTGGATTATGACTTACAATGAAATCAGTTAGGGGATTCTGCAGACTGTTTTTGAGGGTTCAGCCTCCTGATGAGTGGGTGAAACTCCGATGAAACAGTTTGCCGCCACAGCCCCTCGTTTGTTGTCCTCTTCTCCCTCTCTGCCTACGGTTTACCGGGCAGCTCTGTTTGACTATATATATATATATATATGTATCTTCAACAGTAAGGCACCTTTCTCTACCCTGTCATCCGAGAAGAACAGGAGACCTCATGCACGAAAAAAGAACAACAAAAGGTAATAATGCCGTGTGCCAATGACGTCACCGGATTTTCTATTTTGTTGGCCCCAAACCGAAAAACAAAGGACCTGGCCACACCACTGTCGAAACGAAAGAAGCACGAGTGCATCATCTTCCCAAAAAGTGGCAAGATGCATCTGTTGCTATTCATAGGAACAGCGGCGTCTTTCCACTTCCTGTGGGAGCGTGCACTTCAACGTTTTTCGTTTCGACGGTGGTGTGGTGAGGCCCATAAACTCAGCAAAACAAGGAAATCGTTGGACCCCAAGATCAAATCCCCAGAAAAAGGGAAAAAAAGAAACACATCCACAGTTGAAGCATAGTCACATGTGATAGAAATCCGTGCTACAGTAATAGTCCCTTGCTATCGGAACTACGTCCCACTAGCAAAGAGGAATGAATAGAATGCATGAATCTGGACTTCTTTGTGGAGAGATGCAGGAAATCGACATTGAACTGCTTTTCTGCATCTCTGCACAAAACACATCCAGATTCAGCAGCTTAATCCAATCCTCTTGGCTAGTTGGAGACCCTTTCCCCCAGGGGTGAGGCCCCACCAGCAAAGAGGATTGGATTTAAGCTGCTGAATCTGGACGTGATTGTGGAAAGGTGCAGAGAATCGAGGAAATTGAACTGCTCTTCTGCATCTCTGCTTAAAACACGTCCAGATTCAGCAGCTTAATCCAATCCTCTTGGCTAGTTGGAGACCCTTTCCCCCAGGGGTGAGGCCCCACCAGCAAAGAGGATTGGATTTAAGCTGCTGAATCTGGACGTGATTGTGGAAAGGTGCAGAGAATCGAGGAAATTGAACTGCTCTTCTGCATCTCTGCTTAAAACACGTCCAGATTCAGGAGCTTAATCGAATCCTCTTTGCTCGTGGGACCTCGCCCCTGAAGTGCTGGAGTGGTGAGATAATGTGAGTATTCCGCTCCAGTCTGAAAGTCTTTTTTTTTCTTTTTCTTTTTTTCCACTGATAATTTTGTTGATTTGTTTATGTTTCTCCCTGTGTCCTGTGGGTATCGCAAAATAACTCCACCTACCCGCCCGAACTCAATACTCCCCCAGCATTCCACATTTCCTACAGCCCTCCTTTGTGAGGTAACTTAAATCACCAGTACCTTTCCCAGGCATTTTGCCGAATCGCGGCGGTTAACACAGAGACCGCACTCGGCCTCCGGCAGTGGCCAGATGCACCGCCAAAACTCGGTGCGCAGATAGCCGGGAACGGTTCTGGCAGTTTAAACTTTTTTGTTTATGGCCACTTCTCGATCATCGGTTACTGCAGTCATGGGCACTGGCACACTAGTTTGCACAGTCCAGTCCCAATTGAAGCACAGGCAGAGTGAGCCCCGTCTACCCTGAAGGCTTGGGGCACTAGGTGCTATAATTATCCTACAAGCCTCATGAATAAGCCATAATGGCCCGCCAAGTACTATGGGTATACTCACACTGGGCCCTCAAAATCACTAAAACGCAAAATGAGCGGCCAGATCAAGTCCTTCGTTTGCGAGAACTCAATCTGGCCACTCATTTTGCGATTTTATGATTTTGAGGGCCTAGTGTGAGTATGCCCTAAGTTTCTGGGGTACCCTTTAGTAGCTGCCTCAGGTAGCGTCTAATGGTTCAAGCCAAGGGTTAACCTATGATATGACAGCACCACGCAACTCCTCCTAGTACAGCCAGATCAGTAATACTCTCCAGCTGCGGAGACCCCTTGCCTCACCCCCCATCCTCTCAAGTCTTCTACGGATGTTTATCCCCATCTAGTCCCACCCAACAATCCGACGTTACTAATTCACCCAGCACCTCCCGAACCCCAACGGGGAGGGAGCGACCGGGCCACCACCTACTCCGTCCAACTACATGCCTTCCCCCGAACACACCGCATATGTGTTGTATTCGAGTTTTCGAAAGAATCAACAAATTTGAAGAGAACGCATGTGCGTTGTATTAAAAAATTAGGGCTATTCGAATAGAACGCATATGCGTTGTATTTGAATAGAAAGCAACCTATGCGTGTTGTATTCGTTTACAACGCCTATGCGTTATGCTCGGGGGAAGACGGATAGACCCCTGCCAGCCTTGATAGCTGATGTTGCCACCGATGCGGTCAACAATATATTCCCTTATCTAGTCCAACCCACAATCTGGCATCACTGATCCCCTACACCCTCATCTAGTCCAACCCACAATCTGGCATCACTGATGCACCTTGCACCTCTTGAACCTCAAATGGGGGATGGCTACCGTCTTCCCCCGAACATAACGCATATGTGTTGTAAATGAATACAATGCAAAGGTTGCTTTCTATTCGGTAATCGATTGCCAACACACAGCACATGCGAAGCACAGTCACAGTACACGCTGCTGACGCAGCAAATACAAGTCCAGCGTCTGATGAAGAATTGGACGTTCGATTAGGTAGGTGATTATAGTAGACACCAGTCATTCTGTTCTTTTTAAAAAGAACCAAAGATAATCTTGGTGCAAAAAAAAAAGTCAATAAAAGACCCCTAGTTGCGAATCTGCCCCTAAGCTACGAACAAATGCAGGGAATCCTGAACGACGTTCAACAAACAAAAGAAGTACCTGTTATGGTCCTGGCTATCTTGAAGTGCAACAGCTCAAAGAAAGACAATGCCGTTCAATTGCAACTGAAATGAAAGAACTCGGAAAGAGAAATAGACAACGGAAGAAGAAGAAATAAGAATGGAGGAAGCAGCAGCAGCAGCAGCAGCAGCAGAAGAAGAAGAAGAAGAAGACGAAGAAGAAGAAGAAGAAGAAGAAGAAGAAGAAGAAGAAGAAGAAGAAGAACACCAGCAAAGACCAATGTCAATCCCCCTTTATCTTGCCACCATCTCCAACCTCCACTTGCTCCCCCAACTTCTTCTTAACAGTAAATAATAATAACAATAATAACAATGACCGAATGAGCCAGAACCAATGTCCGAATCCTTCTACTTACTGCCAGCCACTCAAGAGGTCCACCATAGCCATCTCATACACCTCTTCCTACTTGATCAAGCAGGTGGCTATGGTGGACCATCGGAGTGAAGCTCCGATGTTCAGAGGACAGCGCAAAGGTAATGTATCCGTCCTACTATGGCCACCAAGCCTAGCACCACCCCGGAGTCTTCCTTGTAGGTGCCTTCCAGGTGTAGCGCCAACCAAGAAGATGAAGATGCAGACCAGCATAGCCAGGTAAGCTCCCTTGTCCCTCTCCTCCTTACTCGCCGCCTTCCTCCTACTACTACTACTCCCCTGGGAGTCACCTCCTTGTTGTTCTCCACCATAGCCAAGGTGGAGGGCCAAGCCCATCAAGCCGGCCTTCTTCCACCCTAGCGCTGCTACACTGAGCGCTCGCTTTCACCAGCGTGTCGCCGAAACTTCCACACTGCAAAATGAGGCTGAGCCTCTTGCCTCCAGCAAAGATATACGGAGAATTGCCTCTTCGCACGTTGGCTTTGAGGCCGCGCGGGCTCCCAAGTCTACCGGTACCTCCACGAATTGGAGGGAACATCATTGAAGACCGCTATTCCCCTCCGCAGGCCCAGACTCAGACTACTGGACCCGTAGCCCTAGACACTAAGCCTACTGGACTTCTTAAATTCACTTCGGCCCAGGGTTGCATACCTGCCGACCGCCGACCTCGCAGCCGACCAGTAGGGCCGACCAGTCCGAAAACAGCCATCCACTGTTTTTTTTTTAAATCTGAGTTGGGGGCTGTACTGTGCTTGCTGAGTACAGCCCAAATCCGCTGAGAAACTT